AGGTATTTTCCTTCCTTCCTTTCCATTGCAGTGGTTCTCAACTCGTGCGTCGTGACCCCTTTGGGGGTCAAATGGCTCTTTCACAGGGGTCGCCTAAGACCATCCTGCATATCAGATATTTACATTACGATTCATAACAGTGGCAACATTACAGTTATGAAGCAGCAACGAAAATAATTTTATGGTTGGGTCACAACATGAGGAACTGTATTTAAAGGGCCAGAAGGTTGAGAACCACTGCTTAGAGACATTATGTGGGATAAACTCAGGGCTAGTTAAGTGGCAAAACTGAGTCCAAAGCCCAAGCTCCATGGTTTTTAAACATATTTTAAATAGTTCACACAGCAAACATATGTGACATGGTCAAAATATTAGAAGTCTCAAATCATATGGTCATTTTTTCAAGTGTAAAGATGTTTAATAACTTTAAAAATATGGTCACTTAGAAAGCATTTTTAGATTCTGCAGCACATGAAAATAATGCCAAGTACCAACTACTACCCAAAACACAACAGAGCAGAAGTGGTGGTCAGCTGGTAACTAATTACAGAGTTTACTCTAATTAGAAGAAGTAATTCATTTCAAGTATGTGCCACGTCAGGGTATCTTAAAAATACTGAGTTTGAGCATTATTTTCTCAAAATTGTTTAATAAATACTCAAATTAGGTTTTTTAGACAAAAGGCAGTTATAAAAACTGAAAATGTAAAGCTTAAACCCAACTCAACTCAATTCACAAATGTTGTGCAGCTGTTTTCCCATCAGAACTACAGATGAGAGAAAGGAGCTTTCAGATGAACTGTATCCCTTGACCAAGACCACCTTGTTCCCGAGTACTGTTATCAGTATAGGATTCTCTCAGCTTCTATGAAAGATAGAAATCAATTACATAGTCTGCTGCTGCATCACTAGAGAATGCTTCTGAGGACGCTGTCTGTCATACTGGTTGGTGTCAACTTGACAAAACCGCACGGAAGATTCCTTCCAGAATCCAGTGCCAGAAGCCTGTCACCCTGCAGAACGGCTGTCCCCTTTTGAAAGAAGCTGCTTAGACTATATGGCACTTTGGAAAAGGCCAAACAGAGAGATGTGAAAGGCCAATTGCTGCCGGAAGCCTGAGGACAGGGAGGGAGGGGTGAAGAGGTGGCGTGTGGGACTTTTTGGGCAGTGGAACTAGTCTTTATGTTAGTTCAAAGCAGATCTAACTTTGAGTAGTGAGTCCAATAACAGACATGCTAGCCTCCGATTAAAAATACCCTCTGAATCAAGTTCCTGATATCCATGGGTGTGTCGTCTTCTCTTAATATCTTACAACATTTCTTTGAGGCATCCAAACACCAGCTTCAACATTATGCGGCAAAAAGACATTATTTAGAGCTGTGCTATACAAACTGTAGGCTTAAGAAACCCAAATGTGCCAAGCAATGCTTGGAGAAAAAGTGAAGAGTTCGCAACTCTCCAGACATTTAGGTATAGAACCTTAAATTATTTTAAAAGCATTTATTTCACTGAAAACTTCCTCTATTTACTTAATAAAATGAAATGAAAGTAAAATCAATGTGTGGGGTTCATAAAAATGTTTGAAGTTTTAAAAGGGACTAGTTTTTTAAAAAGAATGGGTCTAGATTACAGTGGTTCTCAACCTGCTGGCCCTTTAAATACAGTTCCTCATGTTGTGACCCAACCATGAAATTATTTTCGTTGCTACTTCATAACTGTAATGTTGCTACTGTTATGAATCATAATGTAAATATTTGATATGCAGGATGGTCTTAGGCGACCCCTGTGAAAGGGTCGTTCGACCGCCAAAGGGGTCGCGACCCACAGGTTGAGAACCGCTGGTCTAGAAGATCAAGCATGTCAATCTCACGGCCCTTGGGCCACGTGCAGCCCACAACAAGTATTTTTGTGGCCCAGCTAATATATCAGTATGTAAAAAACGTTTTAATAAAAATTTCAACTTAATTTTTACAATATCCTATTACACATAATTATTAATAGAGCTACAGTGTTCGCTGATGACTCATTACTATAATCATGTTGCATTCATTTCCCTTACTCGCCCTACACGCAGGCGCACCATTTCTCTCCACTAATACTAGCAGCGAATATTTTAGCAATTGCCATGTCATTAGTCTTGTACAGACTTGTTTGGTGTGTGCAACAGGAAGTATTCCACTTTTGGAGAACAAGAAAAATAGATTTGTGTTACGCTTATTAACTTGTGCAGTTATTCAGTGTCTGGTAAGTTAATATTCTCAAGAAAAAATATTAAATTTTATTTAAACGTTCTATTATTTTATGTTAACGATGACTCATTTATTTCAGCTCTTTGTATTCAGCATGTCTCTATAGAAATAAACCTACATTTCTATGAAAATTGAAGCTTTTGTTTTTCTGCGGCCCCCATAAACTTACACCTTATTTGGCCCGTGATAGCCTTTGAGTTTGACATGCTTGTACTAAACCAGCGGTTCTCAACCTGTGGGTCGCAACCCCTTTGGCGGTTGAACGACCCTTTCACAGGGGTCGCCTAAGACCACCCTGCATATCAGATGTTTACATCACGATTCATAACAGTAGCAACATTACAGTTATGAAGTAGCAACGAAAATAATTTTATGGTTGGGTCACAACATGAACTGTATTTGAAGGGCCAGAAGGTTGAGAATCACTGTACTAAACAGTCTTAACAAAACATGAGACCTGCCTCTATTATCTCCTAGCTGAATGACCTTGAGCAAGGCCTGACCCTCAGTAAACACAGACCCACTGTGTTCTCTACTGGTCAGAACTTGCCTAAGAGGTGTAGTCTATTCTGTCCACCAAAACTTCCAGGTGAAACAAGCCAGGTGATGTCTATGACTGGAAAAATCCACAAGGTGGGAGGTACAGCACTTAGCCCAGACGACTTCAGGGAAATTCTTTAAATGCTAATATCTGAAGAGTTATCAGGCAGATTAGAAGTTAGAGGTTGGGCTCAGATTATACTGCCCAAAATGACAGAATTTAGTAATGAAAGCAAAGCAATTTTTGGCTCAATATAAAATAACTTCCTAATAATCATAGTTAATTATCCTATACTGGAATAGGCTGCTTATAAAAGTTTTCTAAGTATTCAAACAGAAAGTCAAGCTGAAACTATAAGACCATTTTATATAGAATTTGGTGGGAATTACACTGTACTGGAAAGCCGATTTTAAATAACCTCAATAGCCTCCCAACTTTAAGAGGGATTAAAATGACCATGATCGATGTTGTGTTTTTATGTACATTTTAAAGATGAGAAATTGAGGATAAGAGTTAATTTGAAGAAGAGCTCATTTCCAAATCCTGAATCTATTTGGGTTCTTTCCTCTCTTTGAGTGGTTCTCATCCTTGGCTCACATTATAATCACCTATATACCTTATAACAAACCCACCAACCAGGCCATATCCCCGACCAATTAACCAGAATAACTAATGGAGAGACCCACGTGATGCCAACATACGGGCACGACTGACACCCACTGTTCTACACCAAGGGTCGGCAATCCAGCTTTCCTGGAACACATCCATGTGCATGTTTCTATCCTGTATGACTGTTTTCATGCTACAATGGCTGAGTTAAGTAACTGACCTTATGACCAGCAAAGCCAAAATAGTTACTGTTTGGCCCTTTACAGTAAAAATTTGCCAATCCCTGGCTCTATATCAATTGTGTCCTAACTCTTATAAACCGGATGGAGAAGACCACCAAACAGTGTTTACTACACACACCTGATGTTCAAACAAGCAAAATTTCTACCGATGAAAACTAAACCCAAACCTAAAAAGCCACAGGAACCATTTCACAGGATTACTATGACATTTTGCCCTTTCCCAAAGGGAAAAGGAAATAAAAACAGTAATTCTTTTTAACAGAAAGTACTCCATCCCCACATGATCACACTGAACAGCGACAGAGCTTCAGGGCAAAGCAAGCATTACATCACGTGCGGCGCTGGACAAGTGTGGGGTCTGCAGAGAAAACCTCCAACCCACCGGCTGCTGCTTCAAATAAAAAGTTAGACAGGGGTAGTCAAGTTACGTTAAGGCAAAGTTCCAATCTATTTCCACCCCTCAATAATGCCCTGCACCCCACTTTTTTGAAAACCCACACAACAAATATGACATGCTAAGATTCTTGTACATACTCCTTTGATATATTGAAAAGTCTCAAAGAAAAATTTCAGAGGCCTCTCTTAACTAAGGAAAATGAGGTAAGAGTGGGACAAATTTAAAATATTCCAGCTTCTGTAATATTTATTGTAAGAACAGCAGCTCTACACAAATGAGAATAACACTATTACCATTTGCAAAAATCTATAAGCACTTGTAAATGTTTAATTTACCGAAAACATTAAAGAGTAAAGGATGCTGCCTGGGCAATGTGGCTCAGTGGTTAAGCATCAACCCATGAACCAGGAGGTTAGGGTTCAATTCTGGTCAGGGCACAGGCCTGGGTTGCAGGCTCAATCCCAGTAGGGGCATGTAGGAGGCAGCCAATCAATGCTTCTCTCTCATCATTGATGTTTCTCTCTCTCTGAAGTCAATACAAATATATTTTTAAAAGAGTAAAGGATATTAACTAGGTATCAAAAATGTTCTGAAATAACAAACTACATCTTACAACTAAAGAACTTATCGTTCCCAGCACTGGGTGCAAAAAAGGTGAGCAGAGTCTAAAGCAGGAAAGTCAAATTACTAAACATTGAGTGACGTCTGCATGTCAAACAATATAGGCAAATGCCTGATTATTAACACAGCCTTTGCATAACCCACAGCCACAGGCCTAGAGAAAATACTAAGATACCAAAATTATGTGCTTGAATAATTTCACCCTTCTATTTTAAATATTCAAATTTCTTATTAGTTACGTGTATTTCATAATGAAAAAAAACTTTAAAAAGCATACTTCAACATTATAGCAAAATGGAATTATGCTGAAAACTGAAATAACTTTGTATGCACAATATTTACCCGGTTCTTCCTTAATGAACGACATATCTTCTTCTGGATAGGCAACAGGTGGCTGCATCACGGAGCAGTCTTCCAAACTTGTTTCATTATTAGGTGGTATATTATAAATAAATCTCTTTGCAGTTTGGTTTTTCCTCCTTGTTTTGTTGCCAGTTTCTTGAATTCCCTGGGAGCCCATATTATTCCAAATAAACACTTTTGTTTGACTTGGGGCTTCACTTTCAGTCAATTCAGGTGAACCATCCTGAGCCCAACCACTGTCATTCATTTGGTAGTTCTCCATTTGGCCCTCATCGACATTGCAACCATCATTTTCAGTTTTTACATTACTTGCCAAATTGGTAAGATTCCGTGTTGCCCAAAAACTGGCAATTTTTTGATCCCGCGATGAAGACAGACCATCTCTACTAACTGGTTTTCTGTTGTTATAGTCCACAACCACAGACTCCGGAGCTTCAGATTTAATGCTTATATTTAAGGCATCTTTAATGAAATTTCGGCAAGTCTGAACAACTTCGCTCATTTGCAGATAGCTGGCCACGGTCATCACTTCAATGGCATTTTGGCTTGTGAGCACCAGGTTACCAGAGTACAGGAAGTCCAAGATGACGGAGAAACCTTGAACTGCAGCAATATCTAAGTGGGTAGTATTGTTTTGGTTAGGGCTTTCTTTGTTGGAAAAGCAATATAAAGTCTTAAAGAAACGGCTGCCTGCAACCAGGATGTTCTTATGAGCTTTAAAGATTTTTCCGCTCACCACAATGCTGACATCACAAAGAATACCTTTCTTTCTCTGCTCATTTAATTGTCGAAGAAGTTGATAGCAATAAGAGTTTTCATTTGGCCTACTATTAAAGTCACAGTATCCCTCTTCTGAAGGTATTTCTGATTCCTATAATCGAATGGAAAACATAAATGTTAAACTCAAGTTCCTCATATAAAATAGGTAGTACTTGCATATCCTCCTGTGTACTTTAAATAATCTCTACATTACTTATAATACCCACTACAATGGAAATGCTGTGTAAATAGTTATTATACTGTGTTGTTCAGGGAATAATGACAAGAAAAAAGTCCGTGCATCTTCAGTACAAGCTCAACCATAGCCGCCCTAACTCCATAGTACATGTCAGCAACAATGTAATGTTTTTTCCCAACATGTTTGACCTGAGGCTGGTTGAATGGGTGGATGCAGAACCTGCAGGTGCAGAGGGCTGAATGTACACTAACGTTAGTAATCACCACAAAGTGCTCACATCCCAAGTGCTGAGAGGAAAGTGTGAACAGCTTGGTGCACGCCATTGCTAATATAAGAAAAATTGAACACCTGAATGAGAATCAGCAGGATTTCATTTACAGAGTAACATGTATCATGTCCTTCTTGAAATATAAAGTAAGGACAAGAATTAAGAATTACTGAAGTTAAAATAAAACACTCTGCAGTGCATTAGCATTAGCAAAGCAGGAGCTGCTTCGAAGCTGGCCCATTCAGCACCCGAGCTGCAGGAAGGACATGGCTATGTCTAACTGTAGTGACCATTTCAGGCTCTGGTCGTTGTGTTCTCAATTTCCTGGGCTAGTCCCAGGTTCTGAAATTCCCCGCCATTATCAGACCAAATATCCTAATTTTAAAAAATAACTCATACAAAAGCCTGTACACCAAAACATTTGCCCATTCTATTTTAAACACAAACTACACAAATCAAGCATAGTTATTCAACCACTTTTTCTCTCATTACTATTGTATAACAGTGATGTTCCCTAATTTTACAAGCAACACTAGCAACTTCTTTTCCACTACGATCAGAGCACCTATTAAATGTGCCCTTGGAAACAAATGGTTTACAAGTCAGTGTGTGTTGCTTTCCAAGGGGAGTATTACTTGAGGATTTGGGTGAAACATAGCTAAAATAAATGGCCAATATTATTTGCTGAACCAAATAAGAAATTCTTATACTAAAGGCAAAAAGTTATCACTAGTGATCAAGACTCCTAAAGCACTGAAGACTAAGACACCGGTGTTAGAAGCACAGGAGGTGCATCTAATCCAGATTTCTCTCGGGAGGGGGGGGGGGGGGGTTGGAGGAAAGATTTGAGACTTAGAAGATGAAAGAGAAGGATGGAAGGATGTGCATTCTAAGCAAAGTAGATAGTGGGAGAAAAAGAACCAAGATGGCTACAATAGCTTTACAATTCCAGATTTCTTAAAATACTCCAGGGTGATCCAAAAACCCAAGATATGCAAATATGCACTTACTAACACTTAAAAAGTTTCTATAGCTTTCATCAGATTATTAAGAGATTAGAATCCCCGACAAGATTAAGAATCACTTCTATAGGTGCCAGAGCTTTAGAAGCAGAGTGATCTGATTGGATTAGTGGAAGAGATGACCGGAGCTAAGTAGAGGATTAATACTGGGGGACTAGGACTGGAGATACTGACCAGCGGAAGCCACTGTTAACAGTGTAACATACTTGCAATAATCAAGGACCTTAACTAGGGAAGATGGATAATGTTAATAGGGGGAGAGATGGTGAGGCAGAGTTTGGAAAAATATTTGGGAGGTAAAAATCAGAACTTGAGTGATTAACTGGATTGTGGGGGTTGGGGAGAAAAGAATCAGAGGGTCCTCAGCATTCTAGCTTGGGAAGCTAGATAATGCCACCAATTTGTAGGGAAATCTACACCACCCTTCTGAGGGAGAGTGAGAGAGAGAACTTCAGTTGCAAGCAGTAAACTCAACTGTAGTCAATCAATAAATAAGAAAATGCTATTTAGCTAAAAACCAACAAGCAATTAGCATTTACTTCCCTGCCCAGAATTATAGTCCCCTTTCAAAAAACAATTATGGATTCAAACACAATGTTAGGACCTATACAAATAATATTCTACAAAGTGGTTCTTTAATGGGCATAGGTTCATCTTTAATATTTCTTCTTCTTAGTGAGATGGTTTTCAGATTTTCCTCCTAAATTGACAAAAACAATAATCCTTGAGCCATACTGTTGCCAAATTCAAAGAAGGCTGGTAGCTTTGCTTCACCTTTGCTTTAGTGATGATCTCAACATAGTCCACTTAATAATGTCAACCAGACCAGATCTGAACTCAGCATTTACTTTCTGGAAAGGCTAAGTAAATGCATAACACCAATACATCCGAGTGCGTGTCTCAGGGTTAGTAAACTGGAAAGGGCTGGCACAATGTGCGATGTAAGCTATGAAATTTCACAAGTGGGTAGAAAGTGACCTGAACCAACAGACAGTGGAATAATCACTGTTAAAACAATTTTTTAAAGTCCTCTAGGCCAAATGGTCAATTCCTGTATGAGCTAATTATTGAACTTCTATAAAGACATAGTCAGCTGTTACTCAAAATACAAGGGATAGCCTGGCCGCTGTGACTCTGTGATTGAGGGTCAACCTATGAACCAGGAGGTCACAGTTAGATTCCCGGCAAGGGCACATTTCTGGGGTTGCAGGCTAGACCCCCGGTAGGGGGAGTGCAGGAGGCAGCCAATAGATGATTCTCATCATTGATGTTTCTGTTTCTCTCTCTCCCTCTCCCTCTCCCTTCCTCACTATGTGCTGTCCCTTACATGTTATACTCACATATGCTTATAAAGAATTACAGGCTTCTCTTTGAAATTGAAGGCCCAGAACAGATTTTGAAAGCTTATTTACAGACTCTTCCATGAGGAGTCCTTCACAACTAACATCCAGTTAACAATATCAAACTTTTTAAGAAGGTGCTATAATGTTTTAGTCACCACCATGAAATTAATGAAAAAGAACTTTTCTTACCTACAGGAAAAATAAGAAAGAAAATTAACCCTTAATGACATACTAAGATTTGGCCAAACTCCTCTCAAAAAACAGGCCTCCTTAAAACAACAAAAAAAGAGTGTGTATGTAATAGAGTGAACTACCCCAACCTCCAACTGAATTCTTGCCTGAAGAACTAACTCTAACACTCTTATTTCAATGTTTTTAAGATAGGAGGAAGTTGATGCAAGGCATTTTTTTATGGAGCTGAGAAAAATGGCATGTGTGATGAGAAATCTCAGAATGTTCAAAGAACTGAATGGCCAAGGTCTCAGAAGGTATGAAAAAGGGAACTGGTTTGCTCTCCAGAATCAGTGTGATTTCGTGAGATAAAGTAGCCTCCAAACTGATAAAACTGGTAACACTAAGACATGAGAAACACCAGGCCACAAAAAGCATCTTGTTACACTTATCTGCAAAGAAAATAAGAATGATGATAAAAATAGTCCTCATTTACTAAGTGATTATGTGCTGGCATATATACTTTGCATACATGAGAAGCTACGTTTTGCTTGCCAATAAAGAGAATTAGGATTCAGGTCTCCCTAACCTTAAACCCGAAAATGCTCTTACAGTCTGTGTTATACTGCCTCCTATTGGTAATCAAAGACTGCAGGACAATGGAAAAAAATGAACTGTCCACAGGATAAGTCAGTTCTTGAACCTGTCACTCATATTAACAAGGAGAAATGTAGGTGGTACCTGCAAGGCACACAATAGCAAATTAACACCCCAAACTAAGGTTAGCTAGAATTAACATAGACAAATGATTAGGATCAATTCAGAATGGAAACATCCAAAATCCAACCAAGGGAACCAATATATAGCCTCAAAGTAAACTGTATCCCCTCAGTCTGATGAAAGAATGTCTCAAGAGAAAGAAGATGGGCTGCATAAGAGATCTATAAAAAGAGAGCTTCAAGGAGGCAAAGGAGATGGGAAGGGAGGGATAATTCAGAGATCAAGTTTAATAATGATTTTACCCAGGAGTGAATTCCCAGATCCGGATGCATGCCTGGGGGAGAATACATGCCCCACACCAAGTCTGTCATAAGGTGATCCAACTAATTCCCCTTCCTCTGATTTCAGGTTCACTAAGCAGCTAATTATAATCTGCATTTCCATTCAGCTTTGCCTACAGGGAGAGACTATGCTGATAAGAGGAGTAACTGGCCCATTGTACTAGTATATTAAGAATTCTTTCTAATTGTCTATTTTAATTTTTCTGAATAACCAACCTACCATTATTAGAAAAGTCTACTTTCATTTTCACAAGTTTCCCACCTCCATCATTTTACTAATTAACTTCAGAAATACATACTTAACCCTTTAAAGCCTCGGACTCCTCTTCTGTAAAATGAGAGCAAAATGATGATTTTGCAGAGTTAAGGTAAATGCGTATTTGGCATATGGAAGACAAGGAAATGTTAGTTCTATTTCACTCCATGGCCCAAGCTCACAAAGCTAGTAATTGCAGAAAGCTGAGATCTGAACCCAGATTTACTCCAAAACCCGTTCTTTCCCCATTACAACATTCCTCACAGGCTCTGGTCTCAGTTATCACCAAGGGCTCTAAGGCTCAGGACAATTTACTTAACCTTTCTGGGCCTTGTATCTTTAAATAACCTTCCTTCTGGGCTTAGGCAGTTAAAATTTGTGCAAAACTATTGCCACTGTCCCCTGGGAAAAACAAACCTACACTTTAAAGTTCAAGCCTTAACTCCTGAGAAGGTTCTGGGCTATGGAGTTACTAGATGCTGCTTAATTAACTCCAGTGTAAGTGTTCTGAGCACCAAGATCATTCCAATAAACAGGGGGGCTACTATCAGCAAGTCGACTTTCCAAGCCAATGACTGGCTACAAGTACAAAAGAGCGAATCCCACCCGCCAGCACAGGTTGTCCAAAAAGTCTTAAAGGAGAACTGATCAACCTCTGCTAGGCCTGAAAGGGGATTATCAAAATGGTCAGGACTACTCTCTCTAGAGTGGAAATATTAAAACAAAAAAGGAAGAACCAGTGTGCAGCTTACTTGTTTTGTAACTAAGGACTTGCTTTCAAGGAGTTTGATAAATATGTACTCTACCAGTCAAATCAACTTTTGAAAAAGGCAGATTATATAAAATCTCAACACAGAAATCTGGGTAGAACAGGCAAAAACTACAGTAATTTACCCAAAGCAAAGTTCAACAAGTTCAAAGAAGATGAATTCAGTAAAATTATGTACAAGAGAAAGGAGTGTTAAGCAAATAGCTTCCACTACATTTACATACTGCTCTCATATTTCAAACTATTCTGACTTGATGTAAAGAGTTTTCTCGGCTGGATGTTTTCCTAAAAGGGTGGCATCAAAGGTTAAGGAAATTGTTTAATTCATTCTTCAAAGAGCTCCCAGGTTTGACTTCCACCAGCATGCTATAAAACACTGAACCGAAGGAGCTTTTCAAAAATCACAGGCAATGAAACTTTTGACCGCAAAGTCAACCTTTCCGGGTTAAAGCCTTCAACCCTGCTTTCCTAAGTTTTCTTTTTTATTCAATCTGATGGGGCAAAGAAATGAGTCGTAAAACAACGAAATAAAGTTAGCGCTCCGCTGAATAAACTGTCATCCCCCCGCCCTCCCCAACTCACCGATTAACTTCTGAAAACTTGTTCCTGGGCTTCCCCACCTCCCACGCCCACGGGGCCCGCACCTCTCCCGGCCGCAACGATGCTCCCCGGGGAGAGCGGCGCGCGGAGCTGACCGCCCTTCCCCGCCAGGACCGGGGCGGGCAGGAGCGGGACCCGACCGTACCTGGGCGTTGGCTTCGTGGAGCTTGTGCTCCGTGGAGACGTGGTGCCGCAGGAGCAGGGTCTTCTTGTAGTTGCGGGTCCCTCGCGACAGCTCGTCGTGGCCCCCGGGGGGCAGGTCCCCGCCGCCGCCGTCCGCGGGGGTCTTCTGGCACCAGCCGCAGGACATGAGGCCGGTGTCCTGGCAGTAGCGCAGCCAGGGGAAGTCCCGCAGCCAGGCCGCCTGGAAGGAGCTCTGCAGCTTCTGCAGCAGGGACTTGGGCCGCGCGAGCGGGAGGTGCGGGACCGCCTCGCCGTCGCCGGGCCCCGCGCCGCCCTCCGCCTCGTCCCCGCCGTCGCCGCCCGACCGCCGGCCGCCGCGCCGCCTTCCGCCCGCTGCGTCGCCAGGCACGCCCCATCCTCGTCGTCCTCGTGCTGTCGTCAGGGACGCGCCGTCTTGCACCGAGTCCTTACCCATCAGCGGGTCAGCT